GGACAGTATATAAGTTAAATAAATAAATAAATAACAATTAAATACATAAATAATACAATATTTCCCTATTGTTTTATAATTTATTTACTTTACTTTTACTTTACTTTTAGTAACTTTTACCCCACCCCCTAGACAAAGTCTACATAATAAAACACAACAGTACAGTGGGGTCTTGACTTAAGAATGGCTTGAGTTAAGAACATTTTGACTTAAGAACCACTCTCATAGGAAAATATTGACTTGACTTACATACTTAGATTTGAGTTAAGAACTGAAAAAAACCACGTGGGAGGCAGGGAAAGTGCAAAATTTGAACTTTCAGTTACCTGTTGGCCAGTGAAAAGGGTGCCTGTCTGCTTCCTCACTCCTCCCAGCGTTTAGAGAGTGGATTGGGAGACAGTCTTCAGACTGCCTGGTACTGTTCTGCCTGGACTGTATTTTCCCTGCCTTCCCTGAACCTTTCTTGACCTAAGAAAAAAGAAACAAAATATCCCCCTCTAGTGGTCGAAGGCAGAATAGCAGCTTCTCATTAGTTTCTATGGATGGAAAAGAGCAGATACGGATCAAATGGTTTTCAATGCATTCCTACGGGAAATGCAGATTTGACCTGAGAACTTTTTGACTTGAGAGCCGCCTTCCAATACGGATTAAGTTCTCAGGTCAAGACCCCACTGTATACGAAGCATAATAAAATCTTTCAAAACTAAAAACATGACACTTATTGATCTATGAATCTTCCAATCCTAGATCTTATTCTTAACTATATTAAAAACAATATACTATGAGATGTAGAGAATGTAAATGTAAATTTATGGCTCAGAAAAAGATACAGAGAAACCTGCCATAGTGCAGGCTTGCCCCAGGGCATATCCTAAGAGCAGTTGCTCAGTGGATTTATAAAAACAGCTATGCCCACCTTTTTATTGGGAATAACCAATGTCTGGTGTCTGGGCCTACTTCTAGATTTCATTTGGTTCAGACAGACATCATTGACAGGTTTTGCTCTCATTCCAGTTTCCCTCCCTTGGGAAACACATGGCAACACCAGTGTTCTCTGCCAGAATGTCTTTTAAGTTTCATTCTTCAAGAAATCACCCCAGGAGAAATAGATTTCAGTTTCACTTCTTCCTCTAACACAGTGGTCCCCAACCTTGGGCCTCCAGATGTTTTTGGACTTCAGCTCCCAGAAATCCTGGCCAGCAGAGGTGGTGGTGAAGGCTTCTGGGAGTTGCAGTCCAAGAACATCTGGAGGCCCAAGGTTGGGGACCACTGCTCTAACAAACAGAAATCTGGACTTTTGCTTTCTAATCTAGAGGAGTAAATGGAACTCCAGACATTACGAATTTGTATTACAGATGCAGTGTTTGGAACTATCAAATTCAGATTCAGATATATTCAGAACTATCTGAATATGTCATTCCAAATATTTCTGAATCTGAATGCACTTCCCTAATCCTCCCTTCCTTCAACTGTAATAAGTGTGGAAGGTAGTAGCTGCCCTCTAGTGGGAAAAAAGTCATCTTCCCCATGTAAGAAGATCTTTGTAGATACCCTGTAAAGCAGATGGGTCCTTTAGGAGCAGTCGTTTGTTCAGCATGTAGATCAAAGCATTTGCTCTCAGCAATTGCTTTGTGGAGGAAAAATGCATATATAATGTATACATACACTGAGAGTTATGTGAATTCATTTATAAGAGCATTTTCATAGTGCTAAATTATTTTATGGATAATTTTAAGAGAAGATTACGTGTAGTAATTCTCTGGTTCCTGTTGTGTTATTGAAGATTTGTCACAAAGCAGTGTTGATCCGGATTAGGACATGGTGAAACACTTCCATTTCATTCCTTGTTGCATTTTGTAGATTTTTAGGTGTGTGTGCCATAAAAATACAAAATTTGTATTGCATATTCAACCACAGTGCAGCAAGCAATCATTTAGCATCAGTAGGACTCCTCATGATGAATGCATTTAGTTCAGCAGTTCTTACTCAGCAGAATATTACTGACTTTAATTTTTCAAAAACAAAAATTAAATATACTATCACTTCATATGTATGCCCCTCAAAGGAGACTGAAAGAAGGGTATAAACATTAAAACTATTTTTAAAAATCTGTTCCAACATTTATTATTCCTTAAGTAGCAGTGCTTCTATCTAGTTCAAATTAAATAAATTTAAGGAGACATGTTTTGACTTCAGTGTTCAGTCAGCAGGAGAAGACAAGAAGATAAAATAATAATGGGTGACAGCAAATTACAATAAGGGTGTGATCATGTAGGGAAGTAGATTACAATTTGGACTACTTATGGAGTAGTCTGGTGCGATCTATTTGCCAATGATCACACAATGTATAGCGAAATGCTCTCTAGACCAACCCTGATACATGCCCAAGCTGTTCCATTTTGGTCCTGATGTAGGGCATCTACTTTAGAGGACTGTGGTGGAGTAATTCTCCAGCAGATGGAAGAGTTGCTTTAAGGGAGATAGCTCCCATTAAGCAGACCTTTCTGCAACTGTCTGATTATACCCTAAGCAACAGTGAGTCTTGTGGTTAGAGGGTAGCACTGAGATCCATGTTCTCATCCTTCCTGAGCCATTAACTTCATTGGGTGAACTTGGACTCGTAGTCTGACCTACCTCACAAGATGATTGTGAGGATGACTTGGAGAGCAGAGCTAAGTACACTGCCTCAAGTTCACAGCAATAAAGATGAAGTATGAATGTAATAATAAATAAAATACATTAATACTGTAGTCCTTAGGAAATAATGCCACAGATTTTTGGGTACTGCTGTCTGAGTGGTATTTCTGTACTTTGTCGGAGTCATAGATTTTTCTCCAAAAGTTTCTTGGGAGTGTCCCCTTCTACAGTACTGTTAGTTCCCAAGGGGAAGACTCAAATTACCAGGAGTGGCAGGAGTCCATGATCCTTATTGTACAGATTTGTACTCATACCTTTTTGCCTTTAGAGCAGGGGTTCCCAACCTGGGGTCCCTAGATATTATTGGACTAAAACTCCCAGAAGCCTTCACCACTAGTTGTACTGGCTAGGATTTCAAGGAGTTGTAGTCCAAGAACATCTGCAACTCCCAGAAGCCTTCACCACCAGCTCTATAGACCAGGATTTCTGGGAGCTGAAGTCCAAGAACATCTGGAGGCCCAAGGTTGGGGACCACTGCTGTAGAGTGTCATTGAACAAAAATAAAGCAGGGGATAAGAACTGCTGAATAGGCCAATAGTTTAGGTATCTGGTTGGGAGTTTGATTCCCCACTGGGCTCCCTTGATGGGGGCTGGACCCAGTGATCCATAGGGTCCTTTCCAGCTCTGCAGTTCTAAGCTGATGATGATATCATCACCATTTTAATTGCCACCATCATCTTAATTGTTGCCGATTGGTTTATATTTTGGCCTTCTTCTCCTGCCTACCACTTCAGACTGAAATCCAGCATACCTGTACTGAGGATCTCCAAACTGAGACTCTTCTGTCACATTAGTTGATGATTAAAATCTAATAGATATAAAGAAATGAGAAGTGAAAGGTCTCACTTATTAAATAAAAGTGATAGCATGGGACTGAAGCCCAGTATCTCATGAGGAAAATAATTGACGTAATTCACCAGTAACAGCTACTGCATCATGTCATTTTTAAGCTGGGCTGAAAATAAATTGTGTGATAATTTGAAGTGGTTGAATGATGGTGATGCAGCTGCAGTAATTATTAAGTGGCTCTCATGTATGAGAAGACTTTGCTAGAAGCATGGCGGTGTAAGTCAGGAGCAAGGCATTCCTTATTTACATACAAATCTAAACAAAACTGTACAATGGGAAGTAATAAAAACTCATAAGAAAAGAAATCACATGAATGAGTAATCAGTGTGTTATTCTGTGAAAATGCTACTTTGAGGAATTACAAGTGGATTCAATGTAAGCTACTGTAAAATTTAACTGGGAAAAATAGTAGTACTCGCCGATGCTCTCCTTGTGAAATAGCCTTTTTGTATTCGTTTGAATTAATCTTGTCAGTTAACATGTACACAGCTGTGCCTTTACTCACCTGAGATGTGACAACAGCACCATATATCACCATTATAAATGTTATAAAGTTCACTACTTGACCTATATTTCAAAACTCTAGCATTGCTATGAGACCTATGGACTAACTAGCTAGCCAAGATGGATGAAGGCTGTTTGACCTGGCTCTAAGTGAGCTATGACTGTGTCATGCCTAGAAATGTTGGAAATTACCTTGACTCAGCCTAACCAAGTGATGGTACTGAAAGTTGTTTACATCTGGTGTAACTCAGCTTTTGACTTCTCTGCCCCCCCTCCCCCTTTGGCTCTTCTGCTGGCTGATGTCAAGTAGATCAGCAATTGTGTGTGGAGGTCTGGTTGTGCTGGCAGTTCTGAAACTGACCAGTACAAAGGCAGTTGTGTTGGCAAAAGAAGCTGCTGTCTGTTGCAAGCGCAGTACAGCTGGTGTGTTTTTGAGTTTTGATTGCATTGTTTTCATATAAAGTGGTATGATTCACTAAGATTTGTGCTAGTTAGGTGTCTGATCGATGTTCGTGCGCAAAAATGAATTCTGGAAATACAGTCATTTATTTCAGTAGAAAGATGCTTTGCTTGGATTTCTAATAAATAATCTTAATAATAATCTTAGAAATGCAGAGCTGGAAGGGAATCTATGGGTGGATCATGTGTTCAGCTTCAATCAAGGAGGCCCAGTGGGGAAATGAACTTCAAACCTCTGCCTCCAGAAACAGATACCCAAACCACTGAGCTATCCAGCAGGCATTTCTGATAAAGCCCTCCTCAGCAGACAAAAATATTAAATGAGAAGTTTATAAGGACCTATGGATTTTCATAGAAATCAGATCTGAAACCTTTTGTATATTTTCACTGACAATAGAAAAATGTATCTGTGGACTGTTGAATTCAGACAAGTCATCTCTGTCTCATTCAAACTTTTGTAACAAATATCATTTGTGTATTCTGTGTTTTAGGTTACCATGGACTCTATTGTGAGGAAGAATACAACGAGTGCCTTTCAGCACCTTGTCAGAACGGTGCCACCTGCAGAGATCTTGTCAATGGCTATGACTGTGCATGTCTTGTTGAATATGAAGGCAAGAGATAATCTGTTTTAACATACTGTACCTGGCCTTTCACTGTAAATCGATCTAAGAATCCGTTGTAATTTTAGCTCTGTCATAAATTAGAGCAGACTTCTCCAGTCTGGCCCAATACATTGGGCCAAATTTCCCATCATTTCCAGATAGCATGGACCTTTGCTTGCTATTGACTATACTGGCAGGAGATGATAATAATCTCTTTACAATAAAAATAAAATCATTAAGCTTGTTTGTAGTATGAGAATAACACTCTAAGACCAGAATCCTATCACTCTACATGAATTGGGATGTCAGATGTTCAGGTAATTCTTCCCAATCATCTGTCTGTCCTGCTATCCTGCATCTCCTGGTTACATAAATGATAGCATGTCTACAGTAGGCAGCTAGTCTGGGGGGAAATGGCTGTTGTGACTGCCCTTACACATGGAGTTCCCTTGCTAGGATCTGGCATAAGAGTCATGTCAGAAAATACAGATGGTATACCATTAATAAGGATAATAAGAATAATAATGCTTGAATCAGTCAATTCTGACTTATGGTGACAATTTCCATAATTTTCTAAGTATAGTGGGATCCCCATATCCATGGGATCAGTATCCATGGTTTCCGTTATCTGCAGTTTGCTGCAGGCTTTTATGTGACATATAAGGGCAACCCCTTGTTGTTTTTTTCCCAGGCATCCACAGTAGATCATAGAATCCTCCACAGGAGGATTGGTTCCATGATGTAAAGAGTACTACTGTAAAAAGTACTCAGAAGTACTGTAAAGAGTACTTAGAAGTGGTTTACAATTCTTCTGGGAAAAATCTTAAACTGTGTAGTTTACCCAGGGCAATGCAGGCTGACTCTTTCTTGCTGGAGGTACAGTGAGGAGTTCAACTTTTGGCTCCACAGCCATTTCACTGTGCTATCTAGCCAGCTAGTATATTGTTACAGGTTGGTAATGATTCCATAAAGATTTATGCCTGAGCATTCAGTTTGGAAATGAAACCCCTCTTCATTTCCCACAGACCAGTCACAAAACAAATTTATTTATTTATTTATTTCATTTCTATCCCGCCTATCTGGTCATGTTCGACCACTCTAGGCGGCTTATTTGTGTTTCATAAAGCAAAATAAGAAAACATGGAAGATGCTAGCCAAAATCCTGCTGGGATGTTATATGTGAACAAGAAGAATTGTGTAAGTTGCCCCAACTGAGGTGTGAGGCCTGTGCTACTTGTGTACCAGTCAGGTCCTTGTCAAGCACCCAGACATGCCTCAGTTAGACATAGCAACTTGCATAGTTCCTTTTGTCCACATATAAAATTCGAACAGGCTTTTGACTAAGATGGCTGGAAACTGTCCCCCACCCAGCAGAATGAGTTTTTCTTACTTCCATCTGCAAAAAGAGAGAGCTGGTTAGCTGAATTTAAAAAAGAAACCGGGCCTGCTGTTGTATGTATATACCAGGGAGTCAGAAAGTCCTTTTGCGCCCTCTTAAACATTGGGGTACTGTTGGGGGCTCCACAGGAATACTGGTGGAGCTTCAGAACAGGGCAGAATTGCCCACCATATCCCCTAAAGGGCATAAGAAGATTTCGTGAGGCCATTTATTTGTCCAAAAAACACACATTCCCCCCCCCCAAAATGTGGTGTTGAGGGATGTTCTAGAGCAGTGGTTCTTAACCTTTGTTACTCAGGTGTTTTTGAACTGCAACTCCCAGAAACCTCAGCCAGCAGAGCTGATGGTGAAGGCTTCTGGGAGTTGCAGTCCAAAAACATCTGAGTAACAAAGGTTAAAAACCAGTGTTCTAGAGGCTGCATACACTTCCAAGCCACATTTTGTCTTTTCTCTAGGTTTGTTCAGTCACCAGTGCTTGCAATGAGATACATTAACCAGTGCGCATTAGCATGCTATCATATTAACAGTAAAGCTGAATTTTTAAAAATTCTGGCTTGTTCTGGTATCTATATAATATATATTCTGATTTTCCCCCTTCATCTATAAACCTCAATAGTGTTAACATCACCCTGTTCTCACTTTTCATTCTCAGGAAGGCACTGTGAATTATACAGAGATCCTTGTGTTAACATTAGCTGTCACAATGGAGGAACTTGTGAAAGTGAAGGGCTAAATGCCACATGTATGTGTGCACCTGGATTTACAGGTGAGTAATTTCAAAAATGATAAATAATTGTCTGCCAGAATGAAAAAGGAAGGCAATTGTCAAATAAATTTATTTGTCTTCAGATGAAATACATTCATCTGCACAGCTTATTATTCTGCTAAACGTCAGGGAGCTTTGAGGGGCAACCTCCCAACAGGCCAGGGGTAGATGTGGAGTGCTGAATGTTCCCCATGAGAGAACTAAAGGAAGCAGCAGCTTTGATGACAGAGAATTGACTCTAACAAAAAGAACAATAACTTGTTAATGGCAATGTTTGACATTCTGACAAAAATGGTGCAAAACAAAGGAGAGGAGGAAGGTGTTTAATAAAATGAACTTGGCTATATTTATCTACACTCTGTCCTCTGCTACACTTAAGGTGTAGGCAGTTTCCGCTCTTAGCCGGACAGATATGCTAGGACGAGCAGTAATAGGATACCTTAGATCAGGGATTGGCAACCTGTGGCCGTGGGCTAATATGAACAATGCTTTGAAAGTGATCAATGTGGACCTCTGCCAAGAGCAATCTGTTCCCTCTGCAGCAGTTTATTGGAGAGGAGAGAAAGAGAGAGAAAGAGAATGAGGGAGAAAGACGAAGGGAGTGTCTGAAAGCAGAAGGAAGCGGCAGAAAGACAGAGAGAATGAACACAAGGAGAGCAAATGGATAACAAAAAGAGAAAGAAAGGGAGAGCAAACAGAGAGCAGGGTCTTTTTCAAATATTGATATTTGCATGACCAGTAGAGATGGGCACGAACTGCCACTTCTGCAGTTTGTGCTGGTTCAGCAAACACCTGAAGAGGTGTTCAGCACTTTGTCACCTTGACTTCTCTGCAGGCACCCACTCAGAAGCAGTGCCCCAGCTTTTTCTGCCCCACTTTATCCAAGCGCCTGCCTCTGAGTGAGCACCCACCAGAGGGGGGGCAGTTCATGCCCATCTTTAATGATCAGTCAAAACAGCATTCTGCAAACCATTACTGATGGGAGAGGTCAATAAAAAAAAAACATAACACTTTTGAATCAGTTCTTCAACTGGGATTGTGTCTGGAAGTGTGGCAGACAATATGAGAGAGGAAAGCCATGAAGAGAGAGGAAGTTAAGAGTCTCCACAGAAGGAGTGAAGAGAGGAGCAACAAATGAATTGTGATTAGCCGAAGTGGGAATAGAAGAGAAAGGTGGAGAGAGAAGTAGAGGGCAGAGCCACAAAGAGAGAAACCTAGGATGAGGAGCCACCAAAAGGGAAGAGTGTGTGTGGGGGGGAAATGTAGAGAAAAGCAGCAGAGAGAGAAATCAAGGCAGAACAGTTTTCTGGAATTTCTTCTTGTTGTTATGTGCCATCAAGTTGCCTTCAGAGAATATTGCCTTCTCACGATGTACCCAAAGTAGGACAGCCTCAGTTTTTGCCTCCAGAGACAGCTCAGACTTGATTTGATCTAGCACCCACTTGTTCATCTTTCTGGCAATCCAGAACATTTGCAAAGCTCTCCTCCAGCACCACATTTCAAATAAATACTGTACAGTTTTCCCTGACAATTTTTTAAACCATCCAGCTTTCACACCCAATATATGAGTGTGGAAACCTTTCTTCATTCTCCATTTTTAAAATTCTCTTATCCAGTGCTTAGAAACAGCAAGCCATTGTCTTTGTACTTTAAAGTGACCCCTCTTCTGATCAAAAGGGTGTATTTCCAAGAAGTAAACTTAGGCTACAGTTTTGTGCCTGTGAACCCATCAGTAACTTCCTTTGAGGTGAATGTGACTAACTGCAGGGCAAGAGAATGCATTGCAGCTGCATCCTTACCACAGGAAAAAGTGTCACTTAAATTAGGTAGACTTCTTTCTCGGCGTGCTTGCAGGCACTATCACTTGCAAACATTGTGGATGCTTGTGAATTCAGAAGCATTCTCTTATCTAGGTGACCATACTTAAGTGCCAAAAACACTTACACTGCAATCTTGTGTGAGCTTACTCAGAAGAAAGTTCTACTGAATTCAGCAGGACTTGTTTCCAGGGAATAATTTTGAATGTGCTATGTGTTGTTAAATGTCTGTTTTAAACATCATAAAAATTCAATCCTTAAGATGTGCAACAGTCTCCAAGCTGGGCATGTGCATGACCACTCTGCCGTGCAAAGGGGCTCAACCATGGAGGTCATTCCACACCTATGGTGCCTCAACCAACACAATGGGGATCCATCCTCATGCTTCCAGAATGCCACAAGAGTGTGAGAGGTTAAGGGGGCTTCACCTCCCACTAGAGCTATTGCAGCTGAAACCAATCACATAGTTCATCTGTTCCATTCTGGAAGGTACATCACACCTGGATGAAACAAGAGATACTCAGAATGATAGCTCTGGATGTACAGTCACTTATCACCCTGTCTCCTGCACAAACTATCCAATTAGGTTCATTATTTTCCTTCATGCAACGTCCAGTCTTGCAGGATCAGCAGCCCCATGCCACTGTATCATTTTGTATTTACTTTTTTTAAAAAAGATCTCTAATACATTTTTATGAGAAATGCTTTAGTAGGTCCCACAAGTGACCCAAACAAATGACCCTGTTTGTTGAATGTGGTTTCTCCAAGATCTTGTTGTACAGTTTTGTAAGAACAATTTTAAAACAAACCAGCACTGACAAACCAAGGTAAATTCTAAGATTCAAGAATATAACAACTGCTTCAGCTCAGTTTACAGAGCTCCAATAACAACTGAAATACATAAATAAGAATGGTCTCTTTAAAATCCATGCTTTTGTGGTAAAATAAAATTCTACTGTATAGTCAGTCCACTCCTGACAACAGTTTGATTTGCTGTTTTGTGTTTGTCTCCATTTTGTTTACTATTTAAATGCTGTTTAGTCCTGTGCAGCCTTTGGGGGATCTTGTTCCATTTTAAGTAACATGAATTGTATATAGTAATGGTAAATGTAAAAATGTAATTTACTCTTACCAGAAACAGCCTATTTGCTGCATCACAAATAAGGTGGCTGTGGGAGAAAACCAGACATAGTTTCCTTTGCTCCTCTACTTCTTTCTCATTTTCTCTCTCTCTTGTTCTCTCTCTCTGTATAAGCAAATAGAATGCTTTGTTTCACTTCTAATCCAGGTATCCATCCCTGATCTTTCTGTACATCTCAGCAATTGACCATTGTCGCTGATCCATGCTTTATCTTGTCCACTTTTCTTCATACATTCCTTTATCCTTCTTGTTATTTGACTTGCTCTTCTTACCATACCTCTGTCTGACTTCCCTACCATCTGGCTTGTGCTTGCACATTGCTTTTCTTGGAGCATCATAAAATAGTGAAAAAGAAATGGGTTGGTAGAAAGTTTGGTAGTCATCAGTGATATGTACTATTTACTGCATTAATTTACCGTTTACTGTAACACACTCTAGAAAATATCTTCACAAGCTTGCTTCCTTCTCTTCAAAACAGGAACCATAGTCGCCCCATGATAACATTACAGTGACAAATGGAAAGCATCAGCCACTCCATTAAAGGGAATGACATAGTCCAGTGGTGGTGAACCTTTTTGAGCCCGAGTGCCCAAACTGCAACACAAAACCAACTCATTTGTTTCAAAGTGCCAACACTGCAATTAAAACTGAATATTTAACTGATTATTTGCTTCCTTTTTTTGTTTAGAAAAAAACTGCCCTTGCACTGCAAGGGTTAAATGCTTGTGTTTTTCTCCCCATGAGCGGAATTAACAAATAAATACTTACTGGTCCTCCAATTCCCCCATTGGGCTAGACTGGCCATGGTCGCCATGGCACCCCTCGGCTGGACCACTGCACCAGCAGAGGGGAGTGCCAAAATACAGGATTGGAGGACTGGTAAGTTTTTATTGATGGAAGCTTATGGCTCGTGTGCCCACAGAGAGGGCGCTGTGTGCCAGCTGTGGCACACATGCCATAGGTTCGCCATCACTGACATAGTCCAGCCAAAAAAAGGGGGGTGGGTGATGCAGGGATATCATCATGGCTGAGGGGTCCTCTAAACAAGAGAAAGCCATGTGTTTTTTGTATGGTTGACAGTAATCCACCCGAGTGATATAGTAATACCATATAACACTTACTCAGTTTTCTTTTGTGATCTACACAATGGCCTGCCATATTACAATTGCAACACAGAGCTGTTTTTCTCTTCTGTTCTAAGGTGAAGAGTGTGACATCAATATAAATGACTGTGAGAGTAACCCCTGCCATCATGGGGGAATGTGCATAGATCAGCCCAACGGATATACCTGTCATTGTCCCCATGGCTGGGTGGGAGCAAACTGTGAAATACGTAAGTATTTCTGGATTTATTATTATTTGGGCTTCTTTGTAGTTCACTAACGAAAACCAGGATTCAATGAAGCCACTATTTTCTGAACAGCTTACTTTGTCTTCCCCATCTCTGTTTAAAGAGACTTCATAGTTTCTTGTAGTGGCTAGAACAGGACAAGAAAAAGTGAAAGTGTGCATGCCATGGGCAGCAAAAATTCATTACTATCTTGAGGTCTCTGCAGAACTATTTTCTATGTGCAGTCTAAGTCTATGCTAATTTTTCAGGAATCTCTAGAACTTTTAAGCTATGAGAAAATTTGGCTTGATTTTAATTCAGATCTATCTTCTTTTTATAGTAGTGCTAGAGTTTGTGGATCACACTCTTTTCATTGCAGGAAATTCCAGACTGAGGTTATGGGTAACTCACTGGCTGAAAATTTGTTGCTTAGTGTAGTAAGTCACCCTAGACTAAGCCTATTGAATCAGTGAAAATTTGATGAGTCAGCTCCTCTGTAACTTCCATTTAATTTATTATTTTATTTATTTTATTTATACCCCGCCTATCTGTTCAAAATGACCACTCTAGGCGGCTTCCAGACATATAAAAACACAGTAAAACAAAAAACCAATATACTAAACAATAACAATAGGCAGCCAACAATAAACAGTAGACATATTTTTCAAGATGGCAATATAACAAAAAATAGATTAAAGAAGAAAAGATTAAGTGTTATCTGGAGGGAAAGCCTTAATATAGTTGTGACTTAATTATAATGCAGTATGTTGCAACTAGAGTAGGCCTATTTGAATCAATGGAATTTATGAATGAGTTGATTCACTACATTTATACTGGTTCAGTGAGACTGCTCTAGTGCAGTTTATTACACTAAGCAACAGGAATTCAGCAATTATGTTTTTAGCTGTGTTTGTTAATTACTGAGGTTATGGCCTGATTTGGATGCAAGTTTTGGGAAAATGCAGGAAATAAATAAATAAATAAATCACATAACGTAACATAACATAACATAACATAACATAAAGCCTGAGAGGGAAAGCTTTCTAGATATTTTGCTCAAGATTTCCACCAAGGCACAAGAAGCATTACACCTTAAAGAGGTTATCAACAAGCTATAAGATGTCCAGAAAGGGTGACCAAGATGGGAAAGGGTCTGGAAACCAAGCTCTGTGAATAACGGTTGAGTGAACTGGGCATATTTTGCCTGGAAATGAAGAGGCTGAGATGTGATATGGTAACCATCTTCAGATATTTTAAGGGTTGCTACATGAAAGATGGATATTTCCTGTTGCTCCGGATGGTGGGGCCCAAGCCAGTGAGTTTAAATTACAAGAAAAGGGATTTCATGGCCCTCTGTCAGGGATACAAAGCCATGCATTATGCATGGGTGTTGGACGAGATACCCTATGGGTGCCTTCCAATTCTACCATTCTCTGATTCAATAAACTTCCCTGTTTTTCTGTTACAAACAAAGGTGAAAACAGCCTCTCAATGATGGGAAGCAGTCTTCCTCTGTAATATCAGAATTCTGCTTGTTATTATTTATATTTTATTTTTTTTTATTTATTTTATTTCTATCCCACCTATGGGTGCAATTCTACCATTCTCTGATTCAATAAACTTCCCTGTTTTTCTGTTACAAACAAAGGTGAAAACAGCCTCTCAATGATGGGAAGCAGTCTTCCTCTGTAATATCAGAATTGAATTCTTTATTATTTATATTTTATTTTTTTTTATTTATTTTATTTCTATCCCGCCTATCTGGTCATATTAGACCACTCTAGGCGGCTTACAATAAAAAGAAACAGCAATATAATTTTAAAAACTTGTCCAAAGACAGTTTCCGTTGTCACATGGCCAGCGTGACTAGACACGGAACGCCGTTTTACCTTCCCACTGAGGTGGTACCTATTTATCTACTTGCATTTGCATGCTTTCGAACTGCTAGGTTGGCGAGAAGCTGGGACAAAGCAACGGGAGCTCACTCTGTCGCGTGGATTCGACCTTACAACTGCTGGTCTTCTGACCCTGCAGCACAGGCTTCTGCGGTTTAGTCCACAGTGCCACCACATCCCTTCAGGGTGTTTTTATTTAAAGCTAAAAACGTTAAGTATTTATATACTTAATGTTTTTAGCTTTAAATATTGTCTTTTTAATGATGTCAGCCACCTTAAGTCATTTTAAGGAGAAAGGCGGGGTAAGCATGCATGCATACATGCACACATGCATACACACATGCATACATACAGTATATCACAGAAGTGAATACACCTCTCACATTTCATAAATAGTTTAGTGTATCTTTTCATGTGACAACACTGAAGAAATGACACTTGGCTACAATGTAAAGCAGTGAGTATACAGCTTGTATAACAGTGTAAATGTGAGGTCCCCTCAAAATAACAACCATTAATATCTAAACCGCTGGCAACAAAAGTGAGTACACCCCTAAGTGACAATGTCCAAATTGGCCACAAACTATCAATATTTTGTGTGGCCACCATTATTTTCCAGCACTGCCTTAACCCTCTTGGGCACAGAGTTCACCAGAGCTTCCTAGGTTGCCACTGGAGTCCTCTTCCATTCCTCCATGATGACATCACAGAGCTGGTGGATGTTAGAGACCTTGCACACCTCCACCTTCCGTTTCAGGATGCCCCACAGATGCTCAATAGGGTTTAGGTCTGGAGACATAGGCCGCTGAGACGTCTAGGAGGACCAGCAGAGACACTTTGTCCCTGTCGGCCTCCCTCAATAGGTCATCACACAGGGCGACCAATGCCGTTTCTGTTCCATGGCGCGGCCTGAAGCCCGACTGGAATGGATCCAGGGCATCAGTTTCATCCAGGAACGCCTGAAGCTGATCGGCCACCACCCTCTCGACTACCTTGCTTAAGAAAGAAACATTGGTGACGGGCCTATAATTGCCAATTTCGTCCGCCGCAAACTAGGTTTCTTTCTGATGGGCCTAATGAGTGTATCCTTGAGGGCAGAGGGAAATCTGCCCTCAAGGAAAGACCCATTAATTATTACAGTAGCCCATTCCGTTGTTGAGGGCCTGGCTGCCTTGATTAGCCAGGCCGGGCAAGGGTCCAAGGAGGAGGTGGTGGCACGACAGCGATCAAGCGTCCTGGCCACAGTATCAGGCGAGACGGGCTGAAAGGAATCAAAAGTCACCGGACAAGACGGAGCGCTGGACATCTCAGCTCGACTCACTGTGTTCAAAAAAGGAGAGAGGTCCCGGCGGATGGCCTCCACTTTAGATTTTAAAAATGCTGCAAAATGCTGTTAGTTACCATAAATAATTTTTCAAGCCAGTGTTCTTATTCCTGGTAATAGCTTCTGCTGGCCCCTCTAAAATACAGTATCAGACATGGATTTTTCAAGGAGGCCTCTGTCACCACATGACTGTCCATCTTCCACATGTGCAGAGGGGCTTTTTGGTGGTTATAGGGGAGAGGGGGAATGAAGGACTTCAATTCACAAATGTCCTGAATATTACAATCTTATGCATATTTACACTGAAATAAATCCAATTACGTTCATTTGGATAGCAGGTAAGAATAAATGGGATTTTGAGTCTTATTTCTCTTAAGATCGTATCCTTTTGGAAGTGCTTTGAGAATAATTTTTGAAAATGAAGAAATAAATTTAATCTTTCAAATTGGCTCAGAGGGGGGAAATGCCTGTAATAGGCCTATCTTTCTTAACTGACAAATCCATCCAAATATGATTGACAGCTTTTGTAGATGGTAGGAAATGCAGAGTTTCAGCCTTATTTGAGTAAGGAATTTAATATCTTGAGACCTACAATAATTCTTTAGAAATGCATTCCATGCGGTGCCTTGGTATTATAATTACACTTTGTAATTTAATGGCTTAATATGAAAGGAATAGACAGTCGAATCTATATGCTTTTATTATTCTACTGGATATGTGTAGTATGATAGCAAATATTAAAAAATCCCAGCAACCCAAAATTCCAAAGCCTTGTGATAGTTGGTTACAGGTGCAGTTTACCAACCATGGCAGAATATAGCACAAGAAAGTATCTGTCACAGTATCACCCTGTCAGGTTTATTTTTGCCAGAGACAAATAGCAAGTGACATGAGTACAAAATGTACAATAAGTTACACTTGAATGAGGAGATGCCATTCTCTCAAAAGGCTAAAGGGAAGGTACTGAACACATTGTGGGACCTAAAAGTGAAAGGCAACATTGTCTATGAAGGCCATAAGTCATTGGTGTCTTTCCAGAGATGGTTGGAAGGCACTGCCAGCTATATGGGAAGGAGCTGAGATGGGGTACCTCCTTCCCTCCCTCCCTATTTGACTACTTCTGGAAGACTTCAGTTACCATAGCCAGTGTTTCCCTGAGAGGAGTGAACAGGTCAGCACTGAATATCCTTATCTGAATTTCGCAGAGCCAATTCTTGTGGCAAGGAAGGATGGAATTCACATAGCTTGATCCACAGAATCGAAGAATGAACTCTAGTGGTCATCAAGTCCAGTCCTTTCCTGAAACAAGAAGTCTAAAAGTATCCCTGACAAGTGGCCATTTAACCTTAGTTTAACAGGCTCCAGGGACGGAGACTACTGTATATATCACCTGCCAAGACTGACTGCTCAACTGTCAAACATATGTCCCTGTCAGAAAATTCTTCTCAATGCTTGTGGATTCAGCAAATGACAAGTAATTTCCAAACAGATAATGAAGAAGTTTCTTTAATTGGATCCCATGACAAATACATTCTTTTTCTAAAAAGATTCTAAGTCCTGTTATAGTTTTTCTTAGGAATTTGATGTTTTAAATTCCATGCTTTAAGCCTATAATTCTTGGTTCACATCTGTTCCTTCACTCATTAACTCTAAATTCATTAAACACAACATGGCTCGGCAGATCTGTTTTATAGTAGAAACAATTATCTGTGATGCTTAGTCCCGTTAATGCTTGGAGTCTGTTTCTATAATAGAAAATTATGGGCCTTTCCCATATTCGACTTAATTACAAGGCCATAGTCATTCTGCAGTCACTGCATCAACACAAGTTGATTTATAAAATAGCCTTGTATTGACCTTGTTTTTAATAAAAGGCCATTGTACTCTATTGGCTTTAGGAGGTTATGGATGATAGTTTTCATCAGTGGAATATTACTCAAAGATTTCCAGAGGAAGTGTTTATGATGTAGCAAAGCGAAACTGCTTGCACAACGGTGCCTTTCCCATTTGCACACAATCTATTTTATAGAATCTTATTCGTGTCTACAAAAGTCGGGACCTTCAGTCTGTGAGACCTGTGCAAGGCTGTTACTGATGGAGCCTTTTGGAGATCATTGATTCTTAGAGTCATCATAGGTTGAATGCAACTTGAATGGCACATCTAACACGCACATTTATGTGCTTGACTTTCAAACCACATTAATAAATACTTTTACTATTAATACATATTTTATTATTGTCTGTGTTCCAGCGCTAGAAAGGTTTGTGCACATGGTATGCATGTAGCATGAGAACTAGTGTAGTATAATGGCTGCAATTTTAGACTATAGACACCTGGAATCAAATCTCTACTCTGCCATGAAGATCATTGTGGCTTTTTCACTATCACACTTTTAATTCCTCATAGACTGGTAAGATAAAATGGAATGAAGAGCTATGAGTGCTGCTTGTGCACCTTAGAGGAAGAATGAGATTTAAATGAAATAGATTGATAGTGTGGCATATGTTTAGGGTTTCAAATAATAGGCCTTCACTTTGTACATTGGATGTAATTCTATATCAACGGTGTAGCAAAGAGGAAAGGCAAGGAAGCCTGTACCCCATTCCCCTTTTTGCCACATAACTGCTAAGAATTCTGTGCATTCTGTTTCACAATTTATAAAACTTGAATCAAAAGAATTATGTTCTTTTGCAACATGTTATTTGGAAGTTTCATGCTGTGAAAAATAAATACTAGGTTTTACGAACAAATTGTTTTATATTTACAAAAATAAAGCAAGAGATAGCCAGCAGGAAATATGCAAAAGAACAAGGAACGAAAAATAGCTTCTGTTTGTAGCCTGTGAAGATGGGAGGTTGATAGATCGAGATATCTCATCATTGATGGGAAAAGCACAGTTCTCCCATTGTCATTGGACTGTACCTTTCATCAGCCTTACTTAACATAACTAGTGTCATACCTTGATGAGATTTGCTTTTCTTCAACATCTCTAGATCATCCATTCGTTAACACTGTTTATATGATCTACTACCTGATAGTTCCTGTGAGCAATTCACATTTTCATTGCTGTGAAATAAATTGTATGAAATAAATTGTAGGTATAACAGAAAAATCACTTCTCATGAAATGTCATAAATAAAATATGGTTAAATATGTTGTACACCATGTCTGGTGGATTTTAATGGGATTTGCATCAGAAACAGTTCCAACCTGGTTCATCTTCTGTATGTCTAAAAAATAATGCTAATTTTGTTCCCAAAATCCACATTTCTTTTTCTTACACTGAAGGGCAAAACTCACAGTTAGACTCTTAGGCAACAGGCCACTATTTATTTATTTAAAATATATTTACCCCACATTTCTCCTTGAGAAGAACCCAAGAAGAAAAAGAGGACACTGTTCCCATATATTTAACAGTTGTTCAGAACAGGAAATTTCAGAATATACGTTTTTAAATGCAGATATATTTGCTGAAATTTCCTACTGTTACAGGTGGTAATAAACATAACCAAAACAAAAAAATCTGAAATAATTTTAGCTCTACTATATGTTTATAAAAATAATCGTAAGGTGCTTCCTTGTGTGGTCATTATCTCAGTCTGAGTTCCCCACCTGAATCTGCGGTTTGTTATGTGAGAAAAAAATATAAGGTATGGTATCTGGTATATTTGCCATTGCAAGATGAATGGAAACTGCAGTGTCCAGTTGGACTGGAAAAATAGGACAAGAGGGACTGAATTGTTAAATAGCCACTGCTCTACTTTAGGTGTGTTTTAACCACAGCTGGTTTTAAAGTTAAATAGGGAAGCCCACAGGAAATTCATAATTTGACTAAAGTAAGCTCACAGTGTCATCTTGTTTGGTCTACAACATCTTTCTAACTTTGTAGGTGTCTTGGAGATTTGGAACACAAGTTAGATGTAGGCAAATCTGATCAGAACCTCACAAAATGCAGGGGGAGACCCAAGTTCAAATCTTCCCTCAGGCATGAAGTTCATTGAGTGACCTTAGACCAGTCGCATAGTGTCAGTCTACCTCTCAGAGCTGTTACATGAATAAAAAATGGAGAGTGAAATGATAATGTGTGCTGCCTTGAGTTCATCTGAAGAAAGATACAATATAAATGTAGTAAATATCTCTTGAGATTCTTCAGAGACAATCTGTTCCTGAAGAGCAAGTGCAAGTTTCAGCTCTTAACTGTTTGGGAAGCACAGCTGCTCAGCCAATACATGGTTAGCTCCCAAAAGGTTGCTATCTTCAGTAATTTTCAAGCAACACCAAATTTTAATTTAAATACAGACACAGGTGCAGCCTGTAGGCAGTAGACCATTCATTTTTGGCTTGTCAGAGCAAACAGTGCCTTCAAATAGAACAGAGGTTAGTCAGAAAATTCCAGACTGACAGAGAAAAAGGAACAAGAAGCTATGGTGTATATTGTTGGCCAGTTAAGGTAAAAGATCTGAAAACTACTCCTTGAAAGCAGCAGCTGATGGTATGTGAATAACAGTAAATAAAATGAAACCTCCTTTTACGTAAGCTTTAACAGTACATAAGAGAAAATGATAATGTGGGGAATTTGTGTTTTGTCCAAAGGTTAAAATCTACTGCCTTCTGATTATATGTAGAACATTTAATTTAAAATGTAAACCATCTTGAACTTTCCTATTTTTTCCCCCTTTGTCAGACCTCATTTTGCTGAATTGGCACACAATTTTTTGAACTTCTTCCCTTTGATGTTTAGGTCTAATGTCTTCCATCATTGTCAACAGGTCTCAAACTAGATAGATTAAACCAAACATGTATCTACCATCCTGTTCTCTCAGTGGGCAGTGACAGTCCTATGGGACACCTGCAAGCAGGACATGATAGCATTAGCACCTTCCTACTTCTGTTCAGATCATAAACTGCTATGCAAAGTGTTGTACTTATGTATTCTGAGTCTCAGTCACATGGATGGTGAGGATGTACTTCTTAAGTTAACTGGTAAGGAAATAGTCTAATTGGGTTACTTCTGTTCAGATCATAAACTACTATGCAAAGTGTTGTGCTTATGTATTCTGGGTCTCAGCCACGTGGATGGTATGGATGTACTTAGGTTAACTGGTAAGGAAATAGTCTAATTGGGTCAGGAACCACAAAGGTATGCGTGGGCAGGACCAAATGCAAACCTCATGATGTCCCAATTGTAGAGGAAACCTGATGTAAGACATGTCTTAGTTCACTTCTGTATCTCCTCCTTTGTGGAATAACCCAGGACAATATACAGGAAGTAAGTGTTTAAAATTTAAATACGAAATGGTTGAGGGCAGGACAAATGAATCTATTCTATAAAAGTTCCATTTTTGATAGCTAGCTAGATCTTCATGCAGATCTGTTCTATAAAAGTTCCATTTTTTGATAGCTAGCTAGATCTTCATGCAGATTGCAACTTTCACCAAATACAGATCTTGGAAAAGTTTTTTTTAGGCAGCAACTCCCAGAGTTCCCCAGCCAACGTTGCCATTGCCATCTTGACTGGGGAATTTTGGGAGTTGGAATCCAAAAAGAACCGTCACAAACCCTAACCAAAACTACTGCCACAAGAGTAAGAAGTGAGTGAAGCAGAATGTGCTGTAAGGGAGTGGGAGCATTATTAGTTAAAAATAATAATTGATTATCTTGTCTTCTAGATCTACAGTGGAAGTCTGGCCATATGGCAGAGAGCTTGACAAATATGCCAAGACATTCTCTGTACATCATCATTGGAGCCCTCTGTGTAGCATTTGTTCTTATGTTGATCATCCTGATTGTGGGGATCTGTCGCATCAGTCGCATTGAGTATCAAGGTTCATCTAGGCCAGCATACGAGGAATTCTACAACTGCAGGAGCATTGACAGTGAATTCAGCAGTGCCATTGCTTCTATCCGACATGCCAGGTTTGTCTGCGGGTCAAAAGAAAAATATTGACCTAGTTCTCAGATCCCTGTACCAAGTCTGCCTTAGGGCATCACTAGGCAAAATGCTGGTTCCATATTTAGAAGCAGTAAACCCTCGTGTGGAAAACCCATTTTTAAATTTAAATGTTTAATTTTATGGAAGATATCTCTTGTCCTCCTTGTTTGTTCTGCTTCTTTATAATTGTCATTGTAAGAGTTATTTTTGTCCTCATCTGACAGTCACTGAAAAGCTGTATTTAGGATTCTGACCATAATTCTGTCACTTTCTACTTTTGCTTTTTGCCTGTCACTAGCAAATTTAGGAATTTAATTAGGCTTTTCGTTTCATTACAAGAATAGTCTGTTTGCATTCTTGCCTTGTAATGGGCAAAATCCTCTTGTATAGCTTCATCCAAGTTAATAAATCACCGTAGACATTGTCAGTTGGATGCTGACTCATACTGTTCAGTATGCATCTGATAAACCTACAATGACTTCTGACCCTGGGGTAATTTCCTACCAGTGTTATAGCTGTTCCTGCTATGGCAGTGTAACTAGGCAGGAGGATTTGGGCTTATATCTCTGCTTTTAATCCACAATTCTTCAGGTTCATAGTTTCTTGAATGTACTAATGTGAATCTATAAAACCTTTACAAATTAAAGGAAACAGTAATATTTAAATAACTACAAAAATATAGAAATGCATCCATTAAATTTAGATGTGACAGCAAAAGAGGCCAAGAGTGAGAACCACAAATTCTGTGCAGTAGGTTAAATCATAAGTTAAAGGAGAAAGTGATAGAAAAGCCAAACTTCATGAGGTAGCATATCTCTCTCTTTCTGCCCCACCAGCCAAACCTTGGAAGGTAAAGAGAAATGTAGAAGGGCCCTGCTAGATGATGTCAGAAAGCTGGCAGATTCATATGGAATTGATGATGGCTCTAGTTTTCATCACAGCATACGTTGAGCAAGGTTAACCTTCTTCTTTGCCCTCTTTCCCTGATCTAAATTCCCTACAGATGTTAAATCATTTACTGTTTGGGAAAGGTAGACTTTGTGTCATCTATTCCACATCCTGTGTGGTCCCAAAGCTCCAGCTCCTTTTTTTTTTTTAAAAAAAGAAAGAATATACATTGCTGCATTCTACTAGTCTCTAAAAATAGATTAATTGAGAACAAAGGATTTGCTCTGAAATTTCATTCTCTGTATCACTGTATTAATAATAACCATGTGCTGCTAAGTCAGTTCTGACTTACAATACCCTTTTCAGGTTTTTCTAGGTAGCGAGTACTTGCTTGCTTGCTTGCTTGCCTACTTACTTACTTACTTACTTACCTACTTACTTACTTACTTTTGGGTTACTCACATCGTGCACAAGCACTCTCTGGACAGTGTATAAACAGCTTGGATATAGTATTACAAATTCAGCAATGAAACATATTAAAAATCAACAAATAGACAAAATGCAGTATACAGAACAAGTGGCATCATATCCTCTGCTGAAAAGAAGATAATTAAATTAAAATTATAACCAGGACTAACATTCTAACCAGCTAAATCTAAAATAATTTGGTGAATACTATAAGTGCTCACAGATTTTCATATATAAGGCCATAAGCTATCCTGAAGAGTTTGATTTTTATCATCTTTCTGAAGGTAAGAAGGAATGGTGTTTGACAAACTGCCAACAATAGCTTGCACCACCACAAGGGAGCCAGGGCAGAACATGCCTGATTTCTGGTTGTAGTTTTTCTGGCCTCCCTTGACATTGGCACTTTCAATGACTTATCTTTTGAGGAGCACTGGGGATGGATAGATTGCTTCAAGAGGAGACATTCTGCTACATATTCAGGTCCCAAGCCATTTAGGCTTTGTAGGTCAAAACCAGCACCTTGAATTGAGCACAGAAGCAAACAGGAATCCTGTGCAAGCCGGCCAGAAATGGAGAGATATGATTGCATCTACTAGTACATGTAACTACAGTAGTTTGACCACTGCAGGCTAGACCTGCTGGAGTTTCCTACTGTTTCAAGGGCAGTCCTATAGAGAGACTGTTACATTAATCTATTTTTCAGATTACTAAAGCATGTAGTACTGTCTTTAGGAACTTTTTGTCCAGATAGGGCTGCAACTGAGCATTTAATTGAAGTTAATAAAAGGCATTTCTGGTCACAGATAAAATCTAAGTCTCCATTGACAAGGCTAGATCCAGGAGCACACACACACCCCCGCCAGCTTCATAACCAGTCTTTCAGAGAAGTGCAGCCCCGTCTATCTCCTCTATCTAGGAACTTAGGCACCCAACAGGAGTGCCTCCTTCTTTTGGGATTGAGTTTTGGTTTATAAACCCTTAATCTCAGAGTTTTATCCATAATTGCAGTTAAGCAGTGAACTAGCATTTCAACAGTATCACCTGCAGATGAAGCGAAGGAAAGATAGACCTGCATGTTATCAGTGTATTGGTGAAAGCAAACTCCAATTCTCTGAATGACTACTCCATGCAGCTTCATATAAAGATTAAAAAGCATTGAAGATACAGTTGATCGCTCTAGAACCTAAGGGGCCTATATGGCATCTCCAAGCTTTATCATCTGGAACCAGCCTTTGAAGAAAGGACTGAAACTACCAAAATACAGTGCCCCCAACTCCTAAACTCTGTAGCCATCCCAGGAGGATACTGTGGTCTACAGAATCCAAAACCAACAGAAAGATTCAGGAGGATGAGCAAGCTTGCACTCCCCTTGTCTGCCTCACTTAGGAGGTCATCTTGAAAGGTGACCAATGCTGTTTTGGTTTCATGTCATGGTCTAAACCACTGGTTCTTAACCTTGGGTTACTCAGAAGTTTTGAACTGCAACTCCCAGAAGCCTTCATCACCAGCTGTCCTGACTGGGGTTTCTGGGAGTTGCAGTTCAAAAGCATCCGAGTAACAAAGGTTAAGAACCACTGGCCTAAACTCTAATTGAAGTGGATCTAGATAATCTGATTCTTCCAATAACCATTCCAAGAATTCTTCTTGCAATTGATCAGCCACTGCTTTCTCAATTAACTTTCCTAAAAGAGCAACATTTGCAACAGGCCTATAATTGTTCATGTCATCAGATGGTAAATTTGGTTTCTTCAGACAGGTTTATATTAACCGGAAGGGCATCTGACCATCTCACAGCAATGGAATATACACCATCCATTCTGGTATGGTCTCATTAGCCAAGTACTAAGAAATGGTTTATCATATCCTTTTTTGGGGGGGTACCCTGGGACACCTGGGACTGTGCATCTTGTGCTGGCTCTTCTGGATTGCACAGTGGGGCATTAAACTCCAAATCTCTGGCTCAGCAGCTAGATACCTAATTCATTGAGCTATCATGTTATTCCATTTAAGGCAGTGGGTAGTTTCCCATGATTTCACACAGCGACCCATGTCTGCAGCCATTAAAACAAATAAAATATCAATATAATACTATTTGGCCTACACTTCATTGTGTAGATTTTCCTGTCATCAGGGATTCTATGAACTAGAATCCTTGAGGACAGGAGAATCTACATAGTGAATATAGCAACACAATGGCAAGCTGTGGGATAATTGTTTTATTTTCCAGTAAAAGAAAATCATAATCTTGTGCCCGTCTGGCACATGACATTCTGTATGGTGCTGTAAAATATTTGCTTATATTGGAGTACCAGCCTCACCTTTACCTTGGACTTACCTGGTTTGCAAAAATAGGGCATTAAATACAAAATTAGAAGATTTTGTTTGAGACCATGCAGTTTGCATTTTCCATATATAAGTGCCCCAACATATGATGCTACAAGGTTCATATCCAAGAATCTCTAACCACTTTCTAAGAGAGCCTCCTCTCCTTCCATCCTTAGATTCCTATTGAAATCAGCAAAGATGCACTCTCTTAAACAATCCAAGCAATACACTGAGATTTTCAATATATGAAATGTTTTATTTACTAGGGTTATGAATGGTAACACTGCTTTGTGAGATTCTTGCCTAATTTAGTCTGCACTAAATAATTACCTGAAGAACCAGGATGGCTTGGAAAACATCAGAATATACCAGGATAGCATTCCAATGCAGTAGCCCTCAAATCTATTGGCTAAAGTCATCAAACTTCTGTAGCAGTAAGTGAGCTAATGTTCACACTGCAGCTTCAGGCCACCTGGACTTATTTAATTTGCATTCAAGACACAAGGGGGTCATTTGCTTCCCATTGGTTCTCATGCTTGTCCTAGTCTATTTTGAAATACTAACTTGCCCAGATATCAACTTGTTTGCTTCAAAGTACTAATTAGAGGTGCTTTCAGATGAGGGTTTTATTCTGCTGTCCCTCATTCACAGACATTTTAGAGAAGTCCACATCTTGTCTTTCTTTTTGTTATCTTTGCATGTTTTCAACACTACCTGTACTCTCTTTTTTCTTTCTATAAACATTCCATTAAGAAGGAAAATATAGACTAACTATGTTGTGGGCTTTTGATTAGTACTGCTAGGAGCTGTGTGTCTGGAGCAACAAAATCTGGCTCTACATAGACCAGACCAGCCTTCCATCTAATTCTTCAAGGTTTTCCTTATGTTGCATTCATTTAACACCTACTTGTGAGGAGAAGGTGTATACAACATAATAATAATTACATGCCATCATCTTTAGTCCAATTTATGGCAATCCTCTTCAGGTTTAAGAAAGTGCATTCAAAATACACATATGTATGTGCTTCCACCAGCAGTGCAGCCCAGGAAAAAAAACTTTAACATGTGTTGATTCTAATGAAATTTACACCATTTCAGTTCAGTCTAAAGTAAAAGGAATCTGTGGTGTGGCTACACTGTTGAAATGAATTGGGAGCTGTATCAGTTCCAGAGGCCAGTTTAAAGTTAAATGGTTTTTGTCTTGATGCGTGTGTATCCGCCTGAGACAACTTTTATTTTTATCGTAACCTACATTGTATATTGGTCAAGGGGGCTACACGGGCTTTAAAATCATTATTGTGGCCAGAATCAATTCAAAATAAACAACTCTCTTGCGAGTATTTTTTTAAAAACTTGTTTTCCAACAAAAAGTATACACTTAGCTGTATGTCATGTGGGTGAGTATTTTTGTATTGATTTCAAGTGTGTGAAACCCGATGCAAAAATAGGAGTATCACAGCATGTAGTTGAGTTCTGTATTTCTTTGTTTTACATCAGCCAAGTTATGTCTACTTGGGGCTTTAAATTTAAGTGAAATTTTCAAAGATATTTGACATAACTGTGGGTCACCAAATCAGTGTTATGGGCATGCATATCAGTCTGTAATTCTACTCAGTCTTTTTTCTTCTTCATTTTTGGGATCTAGGTTTGGAAAGAAATCTCGACCAGCAATGTATGATGCAGCTCCAATTGCTTATGAAGATTACAGCCCTGATGACAAACCTTTGGTCACACTGATTAAGACAAAAGATTTGTAATCTACTTCAGGTGTTTTTTTGGGGGGTATTATTTTTCAAAAGGATGGGCTACTGAATTAATTCAAATATTTTTAAGATGAAGAAAGTGTAAGAAATTAAAAATGTTCAGCTGCTCCAGAATTTTCTGTAGATTATTTAAGAACAGGTTTTCTGCAGCTTTTAGTTTAGGGAAAATATTTTAAAACTGAATTTGTGGAGTCCATAGTTTACTTTTAATGTACCTTCAGCTTTAGAAACTCTTAATCTTACCAATAGTGTGTGCATTTACCAAACTCAGATGACGAAGTTGTGTGGTTACAGACAGAATATGATAGGTTAAGCAATGACAAGTTTCTCTTTAACATAACAGTGCCAGCATTCTCTGTAGAGTTAGGAAAAAAAATGTAAAACTTGATATATCCATTACTGAAAAATGAAGTCTGAGATGTTTGTGTTTGTGAAAAGGAATCTAGTAAAAAATTATTATTCCTAAACTGGATGAATTAGCTTTCTCCCTCTTTTGTGCATGGATAACTAATCTATTTCTGCATTATGTTCCTGACACTTGCTGAAACATAATCTTGAGTTGATGTTTGCCATTTTTGTAATAGTATTGAAGGTGAGCTTTGTAAAAATGATATAAAATTGAAGTGCCTATTGAGGCAAACTCAGGGGTTGATCCTGCTACTTTTGAAATAAGTGGATAGTATAATTTCCATTGACTTCACAGTACTGAGGGTCAGCTCTTTATATTGGAACTATATTTTTCTTTAAAAAGTCAAGTTTTTTATAGTGTCAGTAAACAAACCTTATAATTTAAACAGGTTGTCTCTCAAATGTTGTTAATGTACAGTATTATTTTTATTTCAGTATGTATTTCTCATAGTGCATTGTATTTATATGTGTGTGTTTTTCTGTGGCTCTGTTTGATTGCTTATGTGCTTCAAAATTCTTGCTTATTTCAGAGATATTGAATAAATGTGATCAATCCAGTGTGGCATCTCATCTTGTCTTCTTTCAGCTTTAATGAGAATATAGAAGCTCTTATTTATCACTTTTGAGTGTCTGTGCTCGAACCCAAGCCATTTGCCTAATAACCATAACGTGAATCAGCCATGGCATTGCTGGAATAAATAATATTTTATCTGCATATTTGGAAGACTTGCATGTGTGATGCCAAGAATGCTTTCTTTGTCTCCATTGCCTTAATGTCAATATGGTAAATGTGGCTAATAATATGATATAGTGCCATATGATGCAAATATGGATCTTGAAAAATATGTTATACATTTTCTTGTTTAATCAAAAATAGACATCACAGATTGAGAGCCACCAATTTCTGCAATACTTTGGTTCAGGTTTTGTTTTTGTAGATATCATACTAAGCTGTATCCATTTTAAGTACTGTAACAACATTTAACTTATATGTATACTAAAGGTACTTGATTTGATGTTGTCAGAATTAGAGGATCTTGGGTTAGCTGTACACTGGCTTCCATTTTAGTTGACTCAACTGCATCATCCTCTGTGGCTGACTAAGAAAAGGACAGTTACAATGAGTGGATCAAGAATGATGACTTTGCTTGTTGTTTATCTGCCCTGAGATCATTTAAAACTGTTGTAGGCAATAGAACCACTTCTTGTGTATATTTTATCTTGCTGAAAGAATACAGCAGCCACAGGAGTAATGTGGGATGGGCTTATGGCACTGGGTGGCAAGAACCAGGACAGTGAGGGAAAGTATGCTTCCCCACATTAGGACAAGTGGCAACAGAGACAGCTGAGCCCAGGTTGTCGAAAGATCCTGTTCTACATATAAGAGTCAATACTGGGTAATATTATTTGAGATGTCAGATTTTGATTAGGAAAATCAGGATTCATCTGGATCACAGGACTGAAGCTTTGGTTGTGGAGAGACCATGTCTTACATAATGAAGGTTGCAAGTCCATCTCTAGTTAAAAGAGTTTTAGGGAGCCGAGATGGATTTTTTTAAAAAAAAAAATAATTTGGCCCAAGGACAGAGATGAGAAACCTTCAGCCTTCAGAATGTTTTCATTTACAACTTCCACAGTTGCTTACCATTGGTTAAATCACCCTTTTAAATTTCTGCTTGATCACAATCTGACATCTAGCAAAGTAAAGCTATTCCAGATATTTACAGAGATTTGTAAAGATTCTCAGTCATCCAGGTGAGGTTGTCTGGAAGCTGAGTCATGGCAACTGGAAGAGGTCCAGTTGCCATGACTCAGTTTTCAGATCCAGTTACCAGAGTGTAGACTGGAAACTCAAAATAGGATCAGAACAGTTTAGCCCAGTTCGTACCGCTAAACAGAAACTAAGAGTGCATTGTTATATTTACTTAGAGGTAAGTCTTATGAAGTTTATTGGGATTTTATCCAAGGTAAATGATCTGTTAACAGAATCCTGCTTGATAACAGAACTAGAGTTTAAGTAGACATTGCATAGGAGCTTTCTGGATACAAATAATTGAGTTGCTATGTTCCTTAGATTGGCCACCATGTGGGCATGGGTTCTAACTCGTATCCCACATGCTGTGATTCAGTCCAAATTCCTCCTCTTTTAGCTGTTGTTAGCATTATCCCTGTGTGTTTTTCACCTTCACAACTTGTTCCTATACTTAATAGCATTTCTGAGATTCAGATCAGATTTCTGCCAGGTCTATCAGTTATGGAGTAGAGTTACACTTTTAGAAGATACAAATTGCACTCAGAGATCCAATCAGTGATCTGCAGCACAATGTATACTGGAGGTTCTTGGGATTTTGACATTTCTCATTGCATGCTACAGACTAACTAAATTCAGAAGAGAAGCATATACCCTTACAGGAGATTAATGGCACAAGAAGGAATCAGTATTTCCTATGTTCCATGGAGTAAAGAGCTACAAGGGAAGAGTGGTAAGTTATCCTTTGAGAACTTGAGTACATAACATATTGTGCTGTAATTCAAGAGCAAAGCATCAATATGCTATAGAATAGTACTTTGTTCCTTTCTGACCTTGGACAGAGGTCTTCCACAATCCAGTCCCTTCTGAACATTAATACAGGAACCAATTCATCCCATTGGTTTGCTGGCTGGAAAGCCACATGTGGCTTTTCTATTGTGTGATTTATTTTGAACAGCATGAGCAAAATCCTTGATATCACAGCAGCCAGATAGTCTGTGAATTCTGTAACAGAACAAACAAGCTCTGAAATCCCATCCTTCATTTCTATTTGCTCTTCGTTTTCACTGTGTTTCTGAAAATGAAGAGCAAAGCTTCCAAGTTATTGAAAAACACACACACTTTTTCTCTCTGATGACAAACAAACCTGACTGCTAAAATTCCACTTCTGCTGCAAAATTTGCTCTTCAGTGTGCAAAAATATTTCCCTTGACCACTTTTTTCTTTGTCATGTTGTTGTTGTTACTGTTTTCATTACAATACTAATTAATCCCTGCTCCCCCTTCTTCTCCCCTAAAGAATTCTGCTTCACAGTATTCCAGCTATGGGTCTTGGGATTTATTATTTTTACTCTGGCCTTTTTTTTCCCTTAGTATAAATTATTTAAAACAATATATCATAGAAATATAGATAATAATAATGTATACCCCTTTCCAGCAAGTATTTGGATGTCCATGGAAGGGTCTGTGAAGTGTGCCATGAGATGGAGTAGGTCAGAAAGCACATGCTTTCCACATGTTTGGTGCATCTCCAGAAGGAACATCTGAAGGAATCTAACACCAATCAGATTTGGCTATGAGACTGACTGAGTCACAGAAAAGCAAACAACATTCTCAAATTAGTCTCACGCTGATATCTGTTATCCAAGGCAAATGGGCTGACACAAGTTGCCCTTGCCACAGTGCACTAGGATTTTCTTGTACTGATAATATTGTGGCAAGACTTTTGCTCAGACTCAAATTCTAGTTGCCTGTTGTTATACATTATCAGAATAAGGATGGAACTGCTGCTTCAGATGCACATGCCATTATAAATGATATAGAGCAGATGGGCTCTGTCTTCCAAATGGAAATTAAGCCCATCCACTCTGTATTGCTTTGACTTGGATATACATCCATTTCTTCATGGTCTCAAAGGGAACCCAAGATCAACCATTTGGTTGGGGAACATGCGCAATGAAAGGGGTTGGATTAATGGATGTTTAGGCTCCGATTCTGAAGATATCCACACAGGTGCAGAAGGAATCCATAGGTGCAAATTCACAGATTACCACTCAAAGAACTACAGTTATCGATAAGCAACCTGTCCATTCTGTATTCACAGTTTAAATAACCATGACTGCATTGGAAAAAGAGTGCTCCACTTGCCCCAGTGGTGAAAACAAGTGCCTGTTTTTCTGAACCACTATCTACTTGTCAGCAGTTTTATAGTCTTTTGTGGATAGAAGCAACAAAAACCAAGAAAATGTAGCAGGAAGAACTCAATTGGTGAGGATATTAAGATAATATTCTCTTTAACTGCACTAGAAATTGTTGTAACCATTTATGAACAATCAGAATAAAACATAAACAATTATCTTAACAAATATTAAGTTTTGCCTTCCAATTAAATGGTTTGCAGATGGTACAAAATGGAAGGTTGTGAGAAAGGTACAAGCTGAAGGAAGATACCATGGTAAGAGTAATCACTGTTTCCAGACCCAGAACCTACCTAGAAATATATTGCTGACTGAGGCATTCCATCATATCTGAACAAGCAAAAAGACAAGGAATAGCTGTTAACAAAATATTGAAAATATTGAAAATATTGTGCCTGAACTGGGATATAACAACACAAATAGTTTGGAAATCCAAAGCAAAAAATCACCTCCATGGATCTATCTATATGAAATAAAATAGAATGTTAGAATTATGGTAATACACTGCACTGAAAATCTGTTAGAGACAGCTATTTTGTATAAACACATGCAGCAAAATAGGACTCACCTTGTAAACATGTATGGTCACATAGAGAACAACAGTAAATATTCATAGTATATATCTTCCTTTATCTTCCTCAGTGGTAATCACTAAATTACCAGATCTGTGGGGCATGTAGGAAATACTTAGATAACAAAAACTGTATTTATCACCAAAACACTGCCCTAAAACATAATTTGTAAAAATGCTCACCTCCAGTGCAGGTTTGGGGTTTTTGCAACGGGGGAGTTGAATCCAGGAAGCATTTTATTGCCCAGAAATGGATATGACACAACCATGGCTGGTGACATCATCCTCATTGTGTGGTTGTCATGAGTTCAGCTGAAGAAGATCTGGAATCAGAGGGCTTAATTACAGCTGAGGAAAGTGCTGGGCAATTAGTATTACAGAGAGCTGGAAAGAGCTGGGCAATTAGTATCACCGCCAGATTCTCCTCCCTCACTAACCAGAGTGAGAGATAAGCTTTGGCAGAAACTCACAACACGGAGGTCTGAGGCTCGCATGAATGCCTCTCACAGGAACATCAAGTCGACCAGCCCTGAGTTTTAACAGGATGGAATGTTTCTAGGAATTAGATGATTGTTGCTGCTATATACGGTAATTTGTACCCAGAGCCTTGGAAGCTCGTGGAAGCAACAAGTCAATTCTCTGGTTCGTGTCCATGCTCCTGCTTATCTTGAACCTTGCTCTCTTGACCCTTGGCTTTTGGACTCTGACTTCTGATGATGGTTTGTGTTTTGGCTTTGACAATTTGGCCTCTGTTTTGTACCTCCTGGACTTCTGACCATGGACAGGCTTACTGGACTTTTGCCTGCTGAAACCCCTAGGAATGGACATTCGCCTCCTGAATCCCCTAGGAATGTGACAGATTGCTTCCACCCACACACTCTCTCCACAAGATGGAGGGAGCGGCAAGTGAAGGCTCTGGGCAGCTGAATGCTGCGCTAACTTAGGTGCAGTGGCTTACATAAATGGTGGCACAGCTTCAGCAGCAACAACTGCCATCTCAGGCCAATGCTGCCACCCAGACTGAGTGCCCCGTGATTCC